TGATTGTTACGGACAATGAATACAGCGATCCCACATAACGCAAGCTTAAATAATTCCGTCCACGCGTAGCATATACGAATCGTATGCGACCGTTTACAAGTACTTGATATATACGAGTCCCGATAAGTCAAAGCCAACAGAGTATGTTAGGCCAGGTTCATAGGTCGAGCCAGCGTCGCGCCGAAGGAAATAACTTAAATTTGTCACGTGGATAAATCGACTATGAGTTCGGCACGACTGTGGCAAGGCAGCGTCAGTCCGTGCTCCAGGAAGAGCTTTAAGAGGTACAAATCCGCATTTGACTTTCGCGATCTCTTTTACACTGTATTAGAAGACTTAATTGCCTGTGTAAAATATGCAGAATTATTGATAAAACTCGTGAGATTTTAAACTGTTTTTATTGTCTTCTATCATCACATACTTTTGGAATTTGCACAAACTGTTACTGAATAAAAGAATATATTACATGGTTGTGAGGCTAACACGGAGTAAAAGAGATTGATAAGTGGAATTATTGTGTCATACCCTGTTGTTCCCATTTCCCATCCTGCTTGACCCATGCTTGGGTCTGGAAAACGGTGAAAAGACTTCGTACCCAGACCCTACTCTTTCGGCCTCTAGCGGCCTGTTGTAGGCTCTGGGACACCCTGTAAACCGGAAGCAAAACCGGAAGCAAGAAATCTTGTTCTAGAAATTTTGAATTTTCTTCTACTACAAATATCCTTACTTTGTCAACTCCTTTCTTAATTCATTGAGAATTATGGCAATTTTTGAGCTTTGATCTTGCTTAAAAAACAGGTGAAATAAGTCCGTGAGGTCAAGTGATTGAGTTGACGGCTGTTGTTAATCCCGGTTGACCAGTGCTTCAGCGAGAAATATCATTTACTTGAGACGACCTATTTTTACCTTTATTCAAGTCATTTTTCGTACCAAACTTCGATGTCGCAAATAATGATGACCCAGGTTTTTATTTCGCCTCGTTTAATAAGACAGAATAGACAAGAATATGTACAAAAAAAAAACGTACCGATATATTAAATTACAAATATTTGAATTTTTGATCGCGGTTACAATCTTGTCCGTTTGTTATTTGAATTAACCAATCATGTGGCTTGAAATTACAGGGTGTCCCAGAGCCTACAACAGGCCGCTAGAATCCGAAAGAGTAGGGTCTGGGTACGAGAATGTGTGAAAACATTGCTTATCAAGCTGAAGCGAGGCAAATGTCCCTATCGCATAATGACGTCACAGCGTGTCTCAGTGGGGATAGATGCTTAGAAAAATAGAAATTTGGACCTATCGTTGATATTCTGTCTCTCAATTTTATTCAGTTTTAATATACACCATGTACCAATGGTTGATGATATACATTTTCTCTGTCCCACTCAGACGACCATAATCCTTAGCGTTGAAACAATGGAATGTTTTGTTGTGACGTAAAAATGCCATTGGGTAATTGATGACTGACATTTGTTTGCAAAAAAGGTACCGACAAAAAAAATTACAAAATTACAATTGTACTTGCTTTTCGTTTAAACTACATGGGTGGTCCACCTTATTGAAATAAACGTTCTCTAAAGTTTGAGGCTACTCTCTCCAGGTCTGTCGACGATTGAAATCAGTTGCTTCTATGCTTAGGTCACTTTCACTATCTATTTTCTTGCTTCTATGTTTTTCAAAACAAAAACAAAAAAATTGAGCAAATATCTATCTTGGTGTTTTGTCCAGTTTACAGTTTCCAATCAGGCGTCATTTATTTCCCTTTGGAAGTAAAACTATAAAAATACTTTTGGGGGCAACTCACTGACCAATCACAGGAGAGCATAATCAGTTTCCTCTACTGAGATTTTAGAAGCGGACAGATCGACGAAGGAGAGTCATTCAGCAACACGTATCTTTTATACAGATATATTCTAACACGCTAGCAGAATGCGACTGTTGTACGGAACTGTGATGTTATTGTTCCTTGTCGTCTTCACAGAATCACGACCAGAAGATTCAGGGTAAGTTGTCTTTAATAACGGCGATATAATGTCAATGCCTTAAGTGCAAAGTTTTTTGTTAAGTAGTATATTATATAAAAGTTAAGTAGGTTGCTATTAAGAGACAATTTCTTTGCCTTTATTGTACATAAATGGTTATATTCTAC